TACCATATACCATGATACACATGACGGTGTCAGATGGAACACGTATTATCAAAGGTATTCGGATGCCTAATTTCTACTGATTTTAATGTGAGCTTCAGTGCCTCAACAGAAATTGCAGAGGTCTCCTGCACAGCTAATGGAAGCGTTTAGGCCATCCTCTAACTGGAGAGCACAAATGCAGGTAAGGAATGGAGAAAAGCAACTGATTTGAAGGAGGAGAAGGCAAACAGACGACAGATTAGGAGAAAATACACTAGGACCGATCCTCTCTAGCTTACTTTGTGGCTGTGAGATATCTCTTTGGAAGAAGAAAGAGAAAAGGTGTTGGAAGCTAAAACTTATATCATATTAATAAAAAAAAAAAAGAAATCCCTTACATTTGACAGCAGTAAGGCAGAAGAGGAGGAAGACGTGGTAATACCAGGCTTCTTATTGCAAAGTTATGAAAATAACACTTGGCCAGTAAAGCCCCATCTAACACAAGAAAGTGCTGTGATGGACACACAAGCATACTTTTATAAAGAGCTGTAGCAGGGAAAAGAAGGTAAATTTATGTTGCTGTTTTAGAGTTTTTTTCTTTTACATGTTTTTTAGAACCCATCCAGATATTGGTCAGGAAGGACCCATATTTTCCTCACGCCGTAGCACTATCTAGGAAGAAGAGATGTCACCTAAGATCAGAGAGCAAAGATGGTGACACTGCAGGTCCACATTTTTCGACAGCTTATCTTCAGTCAGAGTCTGTTTACAACAGTTTTTCCAGTTTAAAAATTCTTAAGTATCTCTCTTTTACACTAAATAAAACAGTGTGTCAGCATAGTTTAAAGTGAATTGAAGGTTTTAATTGGTATTTGGAAAAATAAGAAGGTTTTTTAAGCAACTGCGGGTATTACAATTCCACCTCGAAGTCTAATCTGAGAGCAGGAGTGCTAGTGTTGCATAATGACAAAAATAAACACGAGAGACCTACTGTTACTTAAATGTGGACAAGTTGGACCAGCTGTGTAACAGTCAATGCTTCTACAGTAATAGATGTTGACAGCAAAAATAAAAAGAATGCATTACTGAGACATCATCAAATGAGCCCTGTCATTACATGGAAACTCCACCCTGTATAAGCTTGTCAAAAAGTGTTACTGTAATCCTTTGAGAAGCCTCCTCCTCAGGCAATGGGGAAAAAATGTTCAGGATCAGCCCAGAACAGGTGTGTTGCGTTGTAATGCCAGGATTTAATCAAGTATCTCTTCACATTAGTCTCACAAAGGAACTAACTCAGATCTATTTGGGCCCATCATGCCATGCTGAGACGATTATTTAACTATCCAATTAAAGTAAGCATGCTAACAGGGTGTTTAACAATGGATATTCCAGGGCGTACAATATTTTACAATTATTATTTGTTTTCCTAAGTCCAGCACCACGCACTGACACTTAAGAGGAACTTCTACTACACACTCTTCTCAAAGACAGTCCCTGAAAAATCTCAGTTCACAGCTTGATCAACAGTGGCAAAGGCCGATTGTCCCTGCTCTGAGATATCATCCTCTTTTGCTTACAGGAGAAACTCCTTAGTGGCGTTTATTTCCTCGTTGCAAAAATCCCCAACCCCACTGCCTGAACAGTAATTGAGGTATCAACATTTGTAGTGTGGGCCAGAGAAGAAAACATGGTTAGAAAAGGAAAATATGTCCATCAGATGTATGAAATCATTAGTGTAGCCTCAGAGTAATTCCACATACACAGCCTGAGGCTGGACTTCAGTCCCTAGACCTGACTGCACTGACGAGCGTGGGACTGTATCCTGGCCATACAGCCTTGCTGCTGTTTATGCCACTGAACCCACCATTTAATTATCCATTGGCCACTTCTTATCAGAATATGCTGATCATATTTTATTATTTTTGTCTTGTTACTATGGCAATTTAAGTAGCAATGTTAGAAAAGCAGGCAGCACAACAGCTAGACCAGCTATCTACAATGGCATGTCAACAGCGTGGTCTGAAAGAGGCAGGAGGTTTCCAGTATGTCATCTGGTCAACACAGCCAACAGGCAGCAAGCAACAGGTCCAATGGCTCATGATTGACCCAGAAGCCTTGGAGGGGCAGGGAAGAGAATGGGACAGCAGATTGATCTCCCTTTAAGAAATCTTGGGAGAGAAAATGGGTGCCTAAACTACACAGCACCGTACCTCAAGACAGGTACATTGGATTACTACAAGTACACGTATGCATCTCAATGTTTTCAAGGTATATATTTGGAGATTATGTGAGAAAAGCTTAATCAAACACAATTTACAAATCTAAAAATTAAATCCAATTGCTAGTTAAATGACAGTACTTTAGTACATGACATTAAAGAAATATGCTCCAAATTTGCCTGATAAAAATTACTAGCTACACCCATAAATTTTACTAATATATGGATATAAAAGCATGGGATTTAGCTAACCATACTATTACCACCAGGTAATGAAATTACTCACTTTGCTCAGGTGACATAAGTCGGTGTTGCTGTTCTGAGCATCTTGCCTACACCACCAGTCGATGACCAGTGAGAGGGAGCTGGCTGTAAAGCGATGCCTGAGCAGCTACAGCCAACGTCAGGGCAAACACCTGTACCATTAGCTGGCAGCGGCAACGGCCATCCTGTACCGAAATAACCATCAGAGGGCACTGCAAAACATGCTGTGCTAAACAGAATTATGCAATAGCTGTGCTGGAAGCTGACATGTGCATGCAAGTTAAAATCCAAAGTGGAGAAGTTCAGCTGCAGAAACTGACTCATTAATGATTCCATGCTGTTATTTACAAGTGTTGCTAGTTCTATTTCTCTCCCTCTCACACACTTCTGTTTACAGCAAAGCTATATAGATGACTTCTCTTTTTAAAACACAAAAGAATTTTTCTGCTTATATTCTTGTGGTTTTACGATGACTTATTGTTGCTATTAAGAAAACAGTAACAGAAACCGGACTCTGTATCCTGTTTGCTATTGTAATATTTGTGAAACAATTGCATCAACTGCAATAAGATCTTAAAAAAGAAAAGGTGTTGATGTTTGAACACTTAAGTTGTCAAGTACAAGACTTACAAGAAAGCTACATGTTATGTAGCAAACCACAAAAAGGCAGTATTTTTTTTCCAGCCTAAAGCCTTCTATTGCGTACAGACTGCTTGTCAAATACTCCCTCTCTGCAACAGTAATTTCATAAAGCGAAGTTATTTTTTCTTTTTAAACTTCCTGCTTCAAAGTTGAAAGTGTCTGAGATCACCTTTTTGGCATGCTTGTAACAAGTGGAGCCAAGGTATAAGTAAATATTCTATTCGTGTATAGAACCCACAGCATCTGGAAATCTGCCCCAAAAGTTTATGAAATCTTCCATTAGTTTTCTGAACGTCCAAGCGTGTTAGAAAAAACTCCCGTTGGCAAAGAAATGTCACTGGTCCTCTCACAAAAGGAAATGTGAGAAAAGACTTCAGAAGACTCGGACAAATTGAAAAATTAATTTTTATTCATTCCTCTTTCTCCCTACATAGGTGGAGTACTTGGACTAAGAAGTCAGGAGACATCCATATCACCACTGTGGGGACACATGTTACTGGACGGTCGCTGTTCTTGGCCATCCAGTAAAGGATCGACAGCAGCTCAGGAAGCAGAAGCCAGTTCCCGGTTCTGCAATCACGGCCTCAAGGCTACCAAGTCTTCTCTTCCTTTAAGCTTCGTTTCCCTTACACCCAGATGTTTCTCAGTTGCAAACCCACTTGGTTTTATCCTCTTAGGACAGGTCTATCATTATCTCACCCGCCCCCACCTCCTTCTCACAGAAATACTGATGTCCCCTGCTCTGGACAACTGTTCTGGTCTCCTGTTCCTCCCTCTGTTCCAATCCCATCACTCCTACTTCTAGTTCCTTCTCCTGCCCCTTATTTGCTCTTATCCTTTATATACTTTTCTTTCCTTATGTTTTATTCCTCTCCATCATCTGTTATAGTTTTCAATTCTGAACCTTTCTTGGAACTCATCTGTGATGTGAATTTTACCTTCTTATTAAACCACTAAAAAAAAAAACCCCATACCCAACATATTCCTGTTAAAATGCAATAAAAAAATTCAATTATATTGTGCCTTGGATTTTTGTTGTAATCCTCATATTAAAATTTGTGTTCAGTATTAACAAAATTAAAGTACATTTCTTCACCAATGAATTACAGGTAGCATAAATAAAGAAGAAAAAAGGAACTACAGATATTGTGCAGATATCGTGCCTTCATATTATTATAACCATAATCTGTAAAGCTTGTACTAATGAGATGTAAGATTTAAATGTGAAGAATGTGTTTAGTGAATTATTTTCAATCAATGTCTATACAACAGGATAAGAATAATCTTGAATGGCAACATACCTATTATTATAAATTCCTAAATACTTCATTACTTCAAAATCACACTCTCAATTTATAGAGTAACAGACAAACATCTTTCAACTGTATTCCTCACTGTGTCTACTTCTGTGTAATTGAAACACTAGTGTTGCAAAGTCTTGTCATCATTTACCCATTCTGCATTGTTCTGAATGACTCAGTACGTGCATAGTTCTGGTTAAGATTGTTTTTCAATCTCCTTTTAAATGTATACATTTAACATATATCAATCTATTTCTGTTTTCTACCTATGACTTAGAGCTGGTCATTGGGAAAAAATCTGATTGTCATTTCCTTGTATGAGCATATTAAGCTCTATAACACCACTGTAAATGTAAATGGTTACTCATGACTAATATTCAGAAAAAGGAAACAAACTGCAAATGACAAGACCAATAAGAAGGAATTTTTTTGAGACACCCAAATAAATACATCAAGGAGACTTAATTTCTATTGATGGAAGAGACCCTAAAACACATCATACCCAACTTCATTGGCTAAAGAAACATCTGGATAATTTTGCATCCCCAGTGACTTGTGGAAGCCTGTAGGTATTTGCAGTAACTTTCACCGCTCACCTCATCCTTTATGTCTTCCTGCTGCTGGGCACTGAAGATCTCCATTGCAGCCATCAGCCTCATCATTAGCTCATCCACTGTTGTGTTACCTAGCAACAAAGGAAGATAGCTGAACTTCATATAATTAAAGTTATTAAACAAAAAAGAAGTCATTTTAGAACTAATCCCTGAGAAATAGCCAGACTTTAAAAAAAAAAAAAAAAGTAAAGAGTAGAAAATGCAAGTACTTCAGCAGAATGCCTTTTTATTTGAAAGAGAAAAAAGTTTGCCTTTTTATTGAAAATTCAAAATTGTTTTTACAAAAAACCATTGATCATAGGCTAAATTTTTAGGTGGTTCAAATCTGAATGACTGCTTTTGTGCATGCATGGAATAACTCTATTTTTTCTTTTAATCGCTGATGTTAAAGGAAAGGAATATATCTGGCGTTCCCTGACACAGAATTGATTTCACAGTTTTAGAATTCCCAGGTATAATCACGGAGACTGAAGCAATTGTTTAGTGAGGAAACAAAAGGTAAGATGTTGGCAGCAGCATCCAAGTGGATTGGTTTAAAAGAATGGGAAAAAAAACGAATACGGAATACGGTGATTGAATGGATGTGTGCGCACGCATTTTTATTCAGGTATAACTAGCAGTAAAATTTCAAATATTATAATATATCCTCTTCAGTGTATTTACTTCTGATAAAACTTCTCAAGCTAATAATAGCAGAAAAGTAAGTAATCTGTTTATATATCAAGAAATACAGCACATGCATAGGAAAACAGATACCTCCTCACATTTTTCCACCAGTGTGCCTCCAGTCTTCAGTAAGACTGAAAGGTTAATTTCCTACCAAGATGCACTCAGTCTTTGGTTTCTCTTCCTAAACTGAAGGCTAGACTACCCACTAGAGCCACTTGTCATAGCAGTTAAAAGGTCTTAGACCATGAGAAATGGTTGAAAATGATAAACTCTCAACATCTGTCAGCCTAAGCAGCTTTTGGACCCTAGCAGAACAATACCAACAAGAGCTAGATTTATACTGGTGATGCTGCTCAACATTTTAAAAGGAGTAAACTAACCAGAGGCCACAGTACCACTAAAGAAAACAAAACTGTCCCCATAGTTTCCAACCCCAGGAAAAAATAAAAATCAAAAGCAAATTTAGACAGTCTGCATTTCAATAAATGCCACTGGGACTTAAGTTTCTATATTGTTGTATCTCTTCTGTAAACATGCCTTCTCACCCAGCCCTGAAAGACCCTCATTGTTCCCATCTCTAGCATTTGCTACCTTAGCAGAAAACGTTATCCCACATTCTACAACACGCATGACTTCAGAGCCTACCATTCATTTGAGGGCATATTGTTGAAAGATACCAGTGTCCCGATTCATGGGAAAATAACAAGGACAGCACTCTTGATTTTTGTTAAAGGATAAATTTAAGTAAGGCTGCAACAGGTAATCACTTTAGTTAAATTTAGTTCAAAAGATTACAGGAAACTTGGCAAATCATTAGATCTTCATTAATACAATGAAATAATTTGGATCATTATAATATAAAGCTGGATTGTATTATGACTCTGAGTTATCAAGTTGTTAAAACAATTAAGTAATTTAAGCCAGTAAGTACCACTGTGGGATATTCAGTGAGATAACGCAGGTGCTGAACTATGCTGCAGAGCTATAAAAAGAAGAAAATCTATTTATAAGACTACTTGTATGAAATAAGTTTTATAAGTGACAGAAGTACCATGAATTAACGTTGTACAGTTACCTTGCACTAAGGAGACAAAATCTATGCAAAATTAACAATTCTGTCCACACAAAGGAGCACTGCAGATTCCTCAAGAAAATATGCAGAAAGAAACAGTAATGCTGTCTGCAAAAGGCAGTATTTCCTGAGGCTGAATTTCCTCAGGAAAACAAGGAGAGGAGAATAAAGACTGCTAGACATAAGCAATAAATAAATGAGGACACAGTGTCATGAAGGCAAACTTGTGGAGAAAGCAGAAGAAATGAGAGGCAGCCATTCTTTGATGTATTTTAATCTGAAGAGTTACTGAGAACAGCAGTCAAAGGGCATCACTCCACATCTAAGTCATCTTGCTGTCAGCGAAATCAGAGGAATGGTTATGCCAGAAAGAATGGCTCATATAAGCCAGAAAGCTTCATTTATGTGAGATTCTATTAGTAACTTGAATTCTGATCTTATTTAGGGTCTCACCCTTTGCAGGCTGCAGGGTGGTCTGAACCTGCAGGCAGGTCTGAAAAAGCAACTTATGTTCAAATATTGGCCCACCACACGCAACAGTAGTCCACATATTAACAAGGAACTACACACAAAGAACTAAGTGCATTCTGGCATGGCATGATCTGAGTATAAATTTGGAAAACCAAGTGTAGCTCCTTATTTAGGAAATTTGGCTTGTATTTTAGAAAAATGAAAAACTTAAACTATGATTCTACTACAGTCATGGCAACTTCAATCTCTAATTTTGCGTTAATGAATACATTTATGAATAGTAGCTATTTATATCATGGCAACTGAAAGCTTCTTTTATGCAATAAATTACTATTTTGAACATCTTAAAAAAGAAATGGTTAGCAAAGATGTCTTCTAACAGTTTCAATACTCACATAAAAAACATTTTAAATATAAAGCAAGAACCGTACCTTGTATTACATTCAATACTTCATTAGATGATCGTTTTCCCATAATAATAAGGAAAAGCGGAAACTGGTCTGTCTTCTGAGTTCGAATTGTTTGGGCTACAACACTCCCGAAGTGTCTAGTGCACATTGTCAGAAACCTGTGTGGGGAAAAAAAATAGTTAACGTTCCAGAGGTGGTTTTTAAGTTAGTTTTAAAAAAATAACTATGCTAAATTCAGCAGTTTAACTGCGTGTTATCTACTGTTTAACATCTAGGCTTCTGCATTCAATTCTAGAGCTCTTTATCCCTTTTTATGATTAAAATATGACAGTACTTACAGATATGATAGAATCCAGATTGTCTAAATTAAAATAATTAATAACTGGTTGAGACAGTGATTTATTTGATGGAGAATTCCATTTCCTGCTACTCTATTCCGCAGGCTATAATTCAAAACTAACGCCCCCCAAGATAACAATGCTAAATCAATTGTTAAAAACTTCTAAACAGAAACTAAGTAAAGCCATGATCTAGTAAGCATGGCAACATATAAAAATAGTCTAATTTCATATGAAAGCATAATTTAATAATGAAAGACCAGGAAATTATTTTTATCAGTCATAGAATTAAAACATGGTACTTCAGAACTGTATTTTCTTATTGTACTAGTGCCCTGCCAGTGACATACTTAGCAGTGTGGTCTAAAAACAATAATTCTAAGCTTTTGACCAAAAAAAGCTCTTGGATATTAGCATACAGAAGTCTAGCATTAGTATTCTTAACACGATCTTGAATAAATGAAAAAACTGATAAAGCTTTTCTCTTCCATTAGAGGACTGTTTGAAATTAGCATTTCTTTCAAGAGAAAAGGGTAGCTTATGATATGTTTTCAGATCTGATGGTAAAAAGTAAATGTCATAATAATAATGAATTATGAAAGACCAAATGCAAATATAGAATGCTTTAATAAGATCCAATTTAATAAAGTCTGTAAAAATAATGGACTTTTAATAACATGGGTCACAAAAGGCAAAACAGTGGAAATTCTGAGGACTAGCCACTGGTACAGGCTTATTAATTCTTAATTATGTTCATGAAAGGCAACTTAAATCGTGTGTTTTCTTATGCCTTATGATAATATTTTAGGTAACAACTACTCTGAAATGTATGCTCTAACTGAAGAGCAAAGTCCTGTTGTCACATGCATTAGAAGCCAAATCTATTTGAAAAGACAAACTGCATTAAAATGTCAAGCACTCCAAGTCATTTCTTCTCAAAGATCCTGAAAAGATTCAAAATTGTATTGTTTTCAATCAATATATATTGTATCTAATGAAATGGCTAAAAATTGATAAGCCTGATGAATACAACATTGGGCTTGTTTGAGGCACCTGAAGTATAAAAAAATAACCCTTCCTTAGAGACAATTTGTAGCATAACTATGGCCACAGCTGGATCGAAGACAATGAGCAGGGGTAGCTAGTGAGTATTTCAAAGCCATAAATGTTACTGACACAGACTTTTCCTTGCCTCTTTGATTCCCTGTCTTTTGAAATTCAGAACGATCACACACAAAGACAATGTCAAAAATGCCAGAGACTGCTCTTGTCAGAAATAGCTACGTAGAGACACACCATCTAGTAAAGATAAAGTCTCCATAGAGTCTGGACATAGAAACTCTTAAGTTAAATAAGGGGTTTTGATGTTTGGTTTTCAAGGTGGCAATACATAAGTGAAATCTCGGCCTCACAGAAGTCAATGGTGATCTTCCACAACAAAATGACTTATATGAGTTCGAGGTTTCACTCCTGGAAGTAATAAAAACAGTGGACAATTAAACTGAATTCCTGAAACCTGTGTATTAAAACTGTTTAACAGAGTTCAACACACCACAGAAGAAAAGCACTTAAGTTCAATGGGAAAACAAAATACTTACCTGGAGGTGAAAAAGTGCTGTAGAGAATAATACTAGAAGGAACAAAACTAAATAGACTATTACATTAGTTGCACTAGTCAAAGGTGTTGGTTTGTTGTTGTTTTGTTTTGTTGTTTGTCTTTCAAACCACCTCCCTTCCTATGCTGCTGTTGCAATCTGCTCAGCTCACAGGGACAGCAGCCATCTCACTCACGTACCAGTTACAAGAGCAGCTTCTGACCCGAATGCCACAGATTTGCCACCACTGCCATCAGGCAGCCTTTGTCTGTCTTGGGGGAGTAAGGAGAAACAACTCTTCTTCCCACCACTTCCAACTTTGAATAATGAAGTCCAGATTACAGCATGGGCAGCTGTGAAGAGTATGTTCATGGGGGATGAATGACCAGCTGGTGGTTATCTTCAGAGCAGAGAGAATACACACAAGAAACTCTTCTCACTAACACGATCCATCAAAATAGATCCTGCCCTTTGGAACCAAGACAGACCCCACTTATCTGTTGAATCAAAATGTAGTAAAGCCAAGAAAAATGTGAAGGTAGTCAAACGATGCAGCACTGAATAAAGAGATAGCAGCAGCAATCTCCAACACCTACACCATCTAACTCCTGTTGACCAGTGATTACTCACTCACACATGTGCTTTTCACCAGGTCAGTGGAAAGTGCGCAGCAATTACTCATAGCAAGTCTCTTCATTTTACCAGATGAGTAGGAATTGAATTTTCATTCATGATCCCTGTTCAGTTTTTCTAATGCCTTTCAATAGATTTTGCAACTGCTTAACTAATTTTGCATTTTTTTTCCCTTTTCTGCCTTTAGTGATTGTGCATTTGTAGACCTTTTAACTTTCTTCCACGTCCATATCCAGAAAAAAAATAATAATCTCCTCTGTGCTAATATTTACTGTCAGAAGTATGTGAGTAGGACCAAAACAATTTGGTGCAATAACCAGTATCTTACTCTGCACATCACTAACAAGGCGTTCTCTTACTTTCATCTAAACTGAAGTGTGCCAGATCTTTCAGTGGCATCTCCAGAGCTGCCAAGAGAATTGCCTGTGGAGTGCATCAAAGAGCCAGATGTCCCTCCAGGGAGAACTGTTTTCCACAACACGCTCGATTACTGTGATCTCTAACCAAAAGTGGAAATAGAGGAATGCTGCCAGAAAGGGAGGGCAAATGGCATCCTACTACTCTTTTATTTTTAAATTACAAAAATAGTCAAGGAGGGAGAGGTATGAGAGAGGCAAAAAAGGATTTTGTGAAGGAAAAATCTATTAAAAAAAATCTCAAAAGTTACAAGAATAAAGTTCCTCAAGAAAAGTCAGAGTTTTGGCAGACAGCATAGTTTCTTTACTTCTTTCATGACCCACTAGTAAAGAAACCAGCAGTTATTAAACTACAGAACAAACATGGCAACTGACCATGGCTTGGCAAATGCAGAAACAAACCCTAAAAAAATTACAAATTTATCTTAATTTTTTTAAATGTATATTGAACAGGTGTTAACTCTTAGACATAGTTCACCCCTTAGTTAAAAGCGGCACACAGGAAAAATTATTCTGGTGAAAAGACAATGTTAATCTGGGGGGTTGCTGATCACTGCACAGCAGTTATCCCTCCACGTGCACTCCGAGATAACCTGTGCAAAGAGCTATCATGTTTGCAGCATGTTAGTTTCCTAGAGAAGCATGTTATCATTCCCTACCAGCTAACATGTGACACATCATATTAAAATACACTCCTGGCATAACTTTTTTGTAATTTTATAATAAAATGCAATTTATTTAATATTACTTGAAAGAGCTCCTAGCAGGCAATTACAAAAAAAAAAATAACAGCTTTAAAAATCTACTGAAAACAGTTTAAAATATTACTGAGTCTCAAAACCAAAGGGAATACTTATCACAGCTTAAGTCTACCATAGCTCCTGATCTCAGATGTGTTATGCAGAACTTTGTAAATGCTAGGGTTTACCAATAATATGTTTTTGTGAGAATGCGCAGCTTTTAATTTTTAACACCAAAAATGGCCACCTCTGGCCGAAGCACTGATCATCAAAAGTCTCAGAGCTCAGTATTTTTTGATGTCTGGAAAGCTTTTGATCTATAGGATACCTATTTACACCACAAAATATGTATTGCCTTTTGAGAGGGGGAGCCCAAAGGAGTAAGCCAACCCCTGGGTGGGAGATGGCAGCTGTTCCCAACAGATGTTTCATCATTACAATGACTGGTATTATCTCATAGTTTCTTTATGTATCTCCTGCTCATGTATTATGTTGTTTCACATTTTTGTTATTCATATGGACAGGAGCTACCGCAGTCAAGTTTGGATCCGTGATTATGCAAGATCCCCTCCTTACCAGACCATGAATAGAAACAAGCAAACAAAAATATCTGTGATGCTAAATACTTTAGAAAACTGTAAATATTCCTTTAATATTTCAATTTAAACAGTTCAGTAAGCTAAGAGCATCTCTGGTGCCCAATCTCTAAAGGGTGCACAAGGCAGAAGAGTTCGTTGTCTCCCAAACTGTCATGTTGTCTTTTTCAATGTGAACTGGTTCAAAGTGGTATCTACTTGTACCTAGTAGAGGAATAATTCACAAAGAACTGAAGAGCAATTAAAGGAAGAACTTAGCAAAAAAATTGCTGACACTGTAAGTCCTCTGCATTTCCATTAAAAATCACAGTGCCACACAGCACTGCTGCCTGCTGCCCTCGGCCTTGATCCAGCCACAGGACTCTAAAAAAGCAGAGGAACTGAGACTCCTTTCTCTTTCCACTCAGAAAAGTGGCAACTGGCATGGTTTTCAAAAACGTGCACACCACCCACCAGTCATCATGGAAACCAAATATTGATGACTCGCTGCCTGTCCTCCATTGTGGTATCAATTTTCAGTTACCTACTGGAATAAAACTGACGATACAATCTGATAGGATGAATAGCTCTGCATACATCCCCAAATTAATCTATCTTCCCAAGACATTATGAATAAAATAAAAATGTCAAGCAGTCATAGCATAGTATAGTTGCAGAAAGAGTAACTAAATCTAAAATGCTAATTCTAGCTTTTTTGTCATGGAAACCTGCAGAAGGAAACTAACGCAGCACAAGCTGCGTATCGTACATTGTAGCGTACTCCTGGAATGTGCAAAGAGGGACACCTGACGCTACATTTTGAATGTTTTTCGTATGTTCAAACAAAAACTGAAGGCTCTC